TGGTGTTATCATAGACCATGAACTATCCTGGGAACCCCAACTAGATAACATAAAATGTAAACTAACTACAAGTATAGCTATAATTAAACGTATTATGAAGTTTATTCCAGAAACAGAATACCATAAACTGTATGACTCATTATTCAAGTCTCATATGAGCTACTGTATCAGTAGCTGGGGCGGTGTCACACCTTTTAGACTATCTAAACTGTTCTCCATCCAAAAAAGATGCGTACGCCTTCTATTTGGAAGCAAACGGGCAGAGTACTATGAAACATGTGCACGTTCAAGACCATACAGTGAACATATCGCAAAAAGGAGCTTTGCTTTGGAAAACACTAAGCCAATATTCAATACCGAGAAAATCATGTCAATCCACAACCTTTACATCCAACATATATCCACTGAACTGTTTAAAATCTTGAAACTGCATCAACCCATCTCTCTGACAAGTTTATTCCAAACAAGTTCCAGAGCATGTAGCCAAACTATGCGGGTCCCCCGACACAAACTTGACATTTCTAAACACAGTTTTGTCGTTAAAGGTACGACTATATGGAACAGTTTGGTTGATAAAATATTCGACAAATGCACTCCTAATGAAAACAATGTCATGGTCCCTGGCTCGAGTAAATTTTCCGACCTTTCCTCCCCCATCTCAATTATCAAGAGCCGTATCAAAAAGCTGTTACTTGAAACCCAGCAATTGACAACACCTGGGCGTGAAATTGAGTGGCTCCCCCTAAATAGCTGGGGCATTGAACCAGCTTAGTTGATCAGCATCCCATCCCTTGCATACAATTAATTACAAAAGCGCTAATTATACCTGTTTCAAAAGCATCCTGTCTGGAAGTTCCCTGACTGCCGTGTGAATCTTTGGATCTATTTTTGGATCTATTTTTATATTGATATGATTTTTATATACCTATATATTCATCGCATAATTTCCATGTCCGCCTGAACAAACCTGGCACCATCAAATCTTACCTAGAAACCCCAGAACTCATCAAGCCTAGTCTGAATTCAAAACTAGTTGACCAGCTACGTACAGTTTCCTGGACAACTGGAACCTTTTGGGCCATGCACAAGCCAATAGCATGTATGGTCCTGCAGTGGGGTCTCCTTGTCCTTGGATCTGTGTTTTGATCCGTCTTTTCTTAAAATTTTCCATTTGTGTCACTTAGACTCACCTATTAAATGCTAATCGGCACCGCTGGTCCTAGTTAGATTTAGCCATGGCACGACTACTCAAATGTAACAGTTAAATAGGTGTGACATACTATTATATTCTTATAATTATATCATATGAATTGATTGCACTGCTAATAAATAAAATACTTTGTTTTACTAAAATACTTTGTTTTACTAGTTATTGTAGTCCTAATATGAGCCTTGTCTTTAAAAACTTAAGTTAACTGAACTAGCGTTTCGATGTTTGCAAAAGCTTTCAGGCACGCGCGCATTCCTTGCCCCGTTAGTAACCTGTCCTTCCAAAACCAAACTAGCAGTCAAGGACATGCAGACAAAAACTCAAAAAGTCATACACCAAATGGACATTATATTTTATGAATTGTTTTACATCTTTTTATTCTGTAAAATGTGCTAAAATTAAATTTCTTGTTTCATTGATAATTACAGGCTGTATTCTAGAATTGACCCGCTTCGATCAAGCAACCGCAAAAAGAACACCATCAATTGAAATGGACGTCGCGACCCCTTGATGGAAGATGTTTACCCTGGAGACCATATATGCGACCCCTGGATAGACGATGTTCACCCTGGAGACTTTATGCGAACCCTTGATGGACGATGTTCACCCTGGAGACTTCATGCGAACCCTTGACGGAAGAAGTTCACCCTGGAGACCTTATATTATGCCGATGGTGCTAGTAGTTACTACTAGCCAAAAGCGTCCTTCAGCGAAGAAAGCATGATAATGCAACGAAGCAACGAAACGACAACTTCTCACAACTCGTCCCCAGAACTATTCTTTCTCTTTCTCTCTATACTACCTTATCGGAAGTTATTGTTCATCTTTTTGGGTTCAAAATTATTCTTAACGGGTGATACTCGTAAAATATCTGTTCCATATATTGGACCGTCGACGAGTCCAACTCGGCGCGCGTCCTAATACATGGTAGGTTGTAAACCTACAAAATTATTCATATCCTGGGAAAAAAGTTTGTAGTGGAATACCTTTTGAAAAAAAAATTTAACGGACAGACTTTATACTTAATTAATTCAACAGACATTAAAATGAAAACTAGGGCCTCCAGCGTCCAATTAATTTCCGTAATCGATCCCGAACTACTGTTAGGGGGTGCACCATAAAAATAAACTTGCTCGGATTTTGAAAATTTTTGTACCATTGTTTTTTAGAGACTGTGAGAATTTTCACAATACCAAATTTGTCATACCTTTTTGGAAAGATCAGTGAGTTTCGCCTAGGTGCCATATTTGATGGTGCGCGGCTTTTGTAGCAAAATTAGCTGTAAAAGTCGCGTAATTTGACCAAATTTGACCAAATTCGTTGATTTATGTCGTATTATTTGGATATATCTTAATTGACGATGTCAATTCATGGCAGCTCGGCGCGGCACAGTAGCGCATCTCGCCGATCTAGCCAGGAATTGAGGAATTCCAGCAAGATACGCGCCAAAAGACGCGCAGTTGCGGAGTGATGTCAACGATTACTTTACACACTGATATCATTATAATTTGGCGTGACACACGTGTAACAGTAGAAATTACTAAGCAAGCAGTATACTTTTACAGGATTGACTTCGTGCACACTTTCAAGACGCTAATCACATTCGACTAAAAGAACTTGTAATAGATTCATGATACTTTTGAAATAGACCATTGATAACAGTTTTTTAATCAAAAGATGTACACATGAGATAGCGGACATTAACCTTACACAAGTTAGTGCAATACATCAAGTTTTACCTAAATAAATTGAAATTTCTATGAGCATACCCGGGCCCAAAATAAATATATGCTTTGACGTTTAAATGGCGTTCGAACTTGTGTGGATAATAAAATATAAAATGATACAGATAAACTTTTAACAATCTAAAGATTAATATAGTCGATTTAATCGTTGACGAATTAGCCGAATACTCTAGAAATCGTGAGGATTAAATGAGGAGCTGTGCATGATCAATACAGCGAAGTTTCGGGCGAAGAAAGTGTGGCATAACACCTTAACCGTCGCTGGCCTTAGTACTTGATCCTTCAAAATTGTTACTGGTATTTGGTAGCATCATAGCAAACAATAATCACTCTATAAAGACTGAAGCTTATGTAAGTTGGGAGACTGAGGGCTATAATTTGAAGTTCGAGTGGAACTAACGTCATTCAGCATTTTTGGGTGAAGCAGTCTGTTAATTAGAATTAGAAGAGGAATGTATCCGATGATAAATCTTGCACGATTTTTTTATTAGTAGAATTGCTCGAAGTAGGACCGTAATACGAATATAGTTGTTTCTGTTGCTGGTCCAAGATGATTCTTATAGATTTGATTCAGCTCAGCAGTACAGCCAATGTCTTCAAATAAAGATAGTCCCAGTGCTGCAGTCTCAGATGTTCTCGTCCAGCCTCGAAGAGGATCAACCTGAAGAGATACGTGTATATTAGGAATAAGGATAAACACAGTACAGAGTTAAACAACAATTTTAAATTATCGATATGAGTCAGACCTAAATTCCCTGAACGTTTCGTAAAACTCCATCAATAACAGTAGGAGTGGCCCCTCAGAACTCACAATTAAGTTGAATGTTTTATCTATATCTGTTTGTTTTTAGCCAGCTGAAGTTGGTTTGCAAATTCCTTCTGAACAAAAATTTTGTATCACTTTCATGTTTAAATAATCCCCCTCCAATCCAGGTTGATTCAACGTAATGCAAGTAGCATTGTATAGCGTAGTCGATGTGGCGACGATAGTCTACCAGCAGGCAGCAGCTCCCTGTACATACAGACAAGTACTAAGTAGTTTTTAGATTATTAATATTTGTTAAATTATCATATATTTAGAAAGATGCAGGAATGATATAACAAGAGATATAAACAAGAGTACATGTACAGACCATGACCACTCGAATGATTGAGGAGACATAATGAAGTACAAGTAAGTAAACTGCAGGCATAAATATGTCGTATATTAAACACTTCTAACAGTATTTAATAATAATATAGACTACTCAGTAGCAATGATCCGTATTTTAATTTTTGTAATTATTTATAATTTAAATGAAACACTTCTACACAGCAAAAATTATTAGTTGATTCCGTTCAAGAATAATTACTCATAACTTTCTATATCGTTGTATAATTGATATGGCCACACCTTCCAAGCACTTCCCAGTTCCATTCCAGAAGATAATAATAATGAATAAATGTAAAAGATTTGTATCGTTGATAGCCTATTTTAGTACACAGATCACATTAAGGGTGTGTGTAACAAAGGCCAAGGGGCTTAGACGCTATTTTATTTATAGAGTTGTGTGCGACGTGGTGTCTCGGTAGTTTATGTTGAATATCACGAGCGCGCCACGTGATTTCACAAGGTAAGGTCATATCGCGTTATTACAAATTACCGTGTGAAACAATTTGAAGTCATCGGTGAATTCCGCTCACTATATAACAAGCTAGTTTCTATTTTGTTGATCTAAAGTTTACCGTGCACGGATTTAAATTTTTGTTGTCAGTCCTACATTACTTGTAATTAAGCATCGTGTGTCTGCTTATATTACATCTATAGGGAATCCTATTCACGACCCCTAGCCTCTGCTGTTATACACTAGTTTCGAGCAGTTAATTTATTTTATTTATTTAATTTCTACATTCATGTTTATTAAAATCGTTCATCGCCTTTAAGTTAATATATATTATTAATCTCATAAAATAAATAATTACAGGATATGATGCAAATATTTTTTATGATCATTGTGGGACCATGTTCCGGTTTAGTGACGGATAACTGCACTAGGTGCGTTACCGTCACTAACCGGGGCATGGACCCAGCAATGTTCAAGAACTTTCAGAACATTATTGAGAGTAAGTAATGATTATTGTTTATTCATCTAATCTGAGATTCGCTTATACAGACCTAAACACATTAGAAGATACTGACTGATATTATGAATAGACGGTTGTGCTTTAGCCGCCACGTTCAATTATTAAATTGTAAATTATATTTATAGATGATGATTCTGGTGGGGAGGTAAAGCATATTGTTTAACCCTTTTTTAGGGTTTATTTAGAGTCTAAATGAAATAAAATAGACAATCCAATAATGGGTACTAATTAATAATCTTCTGCTACGTGTCAAAAAGTTTGCTCCAGCCAGCCCCACCAGATTCAGCATCAATAAATATATCAACAGTATATAAATATCATTTGATTAACCATACAATGATTTTCAGGGTGTTACAATGTGGCAGGAAGAGGAACATCAGGAACTGAAAAACTGTAAGTAATACTACAATAACAAACATTCTTGTTCAAATGTGTTTTCTCTTGAATATCTTAAAAAATCCATAACATAGAACGGACTTGAAGTATCGATTTGTTTGCAGAACAAAGAATGGATACGACTTAAATCGTCAGACAACATGTCCCATGGAGGAACCAACACCAACACCAACGCCTGAACATGGTAAATATTGTACTATACATCATGCGAGAAGATAAACTGGGCCAAAAGAAACTGTCAACACGCAATAATTTCTTAATTCACGTTAATCAATTCCAAATTGCAAAGATTAACAATACGGGGGAAATTCGGCTTGATTACAGTTGGTTCTGCTCGACGCTCCCTCTTTCTCATTTAAAATAAAATGAGAACAATATAAGTTGGGTTATATCCGGTCCAACCAATCGATGAATCAGTGTTGCTTTTAAATATCTTAGTATCTTATATCAGTTCTCAATATGTAGTTTGTTCCAGAAGCTAGGTACTTATAATACGACCTAGTATTTAAGTTTAATTTACTCTAAAAAGGTGACTTAACGGAAGACTAGTGATTATTGTCACTTTTGAATGTACCAGAACGTTTGCCAATACTCATCTACTCCGATTTCAATTCGTCAGTATGCTCATCAGAAACAGCCTCAAAATCGGACATATAATTTTGAATAAAAACCATGAACCTGTTATTATATAATATATATATATTATAATATATAATATATATTATATTATATATGTATGTAATAAATTTAACCAAAACCCATAATCATGGGTAGAGTGGAGCGCTGCCAGTGTCTCTCTTTCCCAAACAAAAGGCAATGATATCAATTTGAATGACCGTTATCAAATGCAAAATGATACCGAGAATGAAATCGGTCGCTCGCTTTTCCCACTCATTCATGGCTTACGAATTGTAATAAGTTTCGATTTATAACATGTAATCTATTTCAATTGTAAATGAATGGGAAAAGCGAGCGACCGATTTCATTCTCGGTATCATTTTGCATTTGATAACGGTCATTCAAATTGATATCATTGCCTTTTGTTTGGGAAAGAGAGACACTGGCAGCGCTCCACTCTACCCATGATTATGGGTTTTGGTTAAATATCATCTCTTTTTTATTATAATGTCAGGGTACTTTACAAAGCCGAAATGTAAACTCATAACTTCATTAATATTAATAAGGAGGTGATTTCAACGATTTCGAAATTTTTCCTTTAAAAACATTTCCTTGTGTTTAGGTAAGCATATCGGTCGATCACTGACTGAATATGCCACTTTATACTCATTGAAATTGGCATTAAATTCATATATAATGACATTGAACTTTCGTGGCAAAGCAGAATTTGTTCAAAATCACGAAAGAGCAAAATTTTAACCTTTCGCGTACGTGCAAACCTTGAGCGGAAGTTGCGTGCGCATCCAATATTGAATCACCGTAAATTTTTGCATGATGGTGTTTTATATATAGTTTGATAAGCATGCAAAGTTTCAAAGTATTTCAAGAAGAACTGTAATCACAACGACACTCCAAAATTGACAGAAATTGGTGAAAACAGCAATTTTCAGTGATTTTAGCAATTTTTTATCAATTTGGGCGTGGCCCCACGTGTGCAACTTTTCGATTTTCAACTTTAAAACTAGCCTATGACACAATTTAGACCTTTAAGAAGCAAAATTGAGCTCCACAACCCAAGGGATGGTGCAACACCAGAGAATACTAGAACGTAAAATTAGCGTTTTTATAAAATTATTCCTTAAAAAAGCACTAACTTCAATAGCGAATATCTTTATGAAGGAGCAAGCTAGAAAAACTTTCCGGTAGATTTTCAGAATGCTTAAACAATTATCTAACTTCAATATGTCCTCAAATTTTGAATAAAATTACTCCTTAATGGCGTAAAATCGATTTAAAAAATGATTACTTTGTGAAAAATCAAGTTTTAAAAATGGTTAACTTGATGACGTCATCAAGTGGTGATGATGACGTTGAATTACTTTTTAACATAATGTAAACTAAAGTCTAAACAATTATCTTCAAGACCTGTGGTCCGAAATGGCTGTATCTTTAAAGCTTCTGAATCTACGGACACCTAAACATAGCCTATAATTGACTGGCAAAGCGTCTATCCCTGAATATATATATGTATATATATATGTATATATCACGACAATCTGTCGTAAAACAGGGGTTCTAGAAAACCCATTTCCCGGTGCTCCTGAAACTTGAAACTTTTTTTACAGTCGATTAGGTCAACGTCTAGACGCCCTGCAAAGTTTCAGATCTCTAACTCAATCTTAACATGGTTTTTAAGGCACCTGAATATGGCGATTTTGGGTTTTTTACCGAATTTCGTATAACAGTGCTGGCGCGTATTTTATGCAAATTTCTTAAAAATCTCAACATAACTATTTCTTATTTCTGTCATCTTTGACATCAAATTAGAATGTTTTGAACTAAAAATAAATCTGCTGAACGACTTCCGATGAGTCTTAATGCCTGAAAAACTCCTGCCGGAGGCGGCGGCCTCCGGCCGCCGCCTCCGGCCGGAGTGCACGCTTCGCGTGCACGAAAGAGGCTTCCAACGTGTACCAAAGGGGGTGTAATAGTAAAGGGGGTACAATAGTAAAGGGGGTACATAGTATTCCCCCAATAAAGACACCGCTCGTGCTTGCCAGCACTGTGATATAGAACTATAATACAAATAGAAACGACCAGTTGAGTCCGTTCGAACTATAAATCTATAATATATATTTATTTATAATAAATAGTTGTTGCTTGGTTTCCCAAATAGAGTGCTCGACTGCAGTTATAAGCAGGAGCATTATAATTCGAACAATTGAAACAAATCAAATTGGAGGGCAAACGATTCGCTTTGTGATATGTATAAAACAATACCAATCATCAGTGCCCTGATTTCAATTGTTCGAATTAAATTGAATTTATATATATATATATATATATAATAGATTGAACTGCGTTGACTCCTGCCATTAACTCATTTTAAGAACTTTACATGATGACACTATTAATTTGTTATCGGGCTATTTAAGTTTTAACAATTCTGGAAATTAGCCTCAAAAATGATTTTTACCGTATAATCTATCTATACAGCCAGCGAAGAAAAGAATGGCTGGGAGGACAAAATAATAGGAGTAATCGGTGGGTTGGCTGCGCTCAGTTTTGGGATTCTGTTTGTCTATGTAAGTTTTAAATTCTTGTATACACATCTTATTTAAGTATAAAGTATAATATTTGCCTATTTGTAATTTGAAATCACTATCTACTGAATAGCTTTTAAACCTAATAACACTTAATATTTTACAGTGCTGTTTTGGACAGTTGAAAGAGGCAGCAAAGTGTTTCTGGGACCACCTAAAGGTATTAAAGTGACCAAATGTACTTGTAAGGGAGCGTTCACATATTATGACGTCAGTAAAATTTCGGCCGATTTAACTTCTTATCTCCCGTCAGGGGAGATAGGAAGTAAAATCGGGGAGTCCCCTGTCGGCAACTGTCAGCATTGAGCGATCCCCCACCCCCTTACCTAATACATACCCCTCCCGTCAGTAAGCGAGGGGTATAGTAATGCTGATTGCTGACGAAGTGTACGCAGGGAAAATCAGTGTACATGACTGGTCAACAGAGTTCACTTCACCAAAGTACTAATATGAAGGAAATTAGCGAAGTTTTATTGCTAATAAAATAGATTTGAAACAACAATTTTTGCGGCGTCGAGGATCGTCAGCATTTCCAAACCCCTCTCCCCCTCAGCTGCTAACGTCATATGTAAACGCTCCCTAATCTCTTAGACCATAATCTTTTAGCACTATACTATTAATGTCATACTCTTACGGTACACATTTTTACATTTTCAGAAACGACCAAGACCAGTTGCACCGATTGAAGAGGATTTATAAACGATTGATTTAATTTTTAAAAACTATTTTTAGTGTTTATTTTTGTTTTAAGGTAACGAAACTGGTCGAAGCATTAGTAATACTAAAAGTGTACATTGTAATTTTGCATTATCCTGTCATTTGTCATACGTATGAAAAGTAGTCAGCACGAAAGAATTTAAACAAAAAATTAATAAAATTCAGGATCCCGGCCTTGCAGTTTAAATATAACTGCGGCAGTGAGAATTGTTGGTGCCCTAGGCCCGCGCCCCGCCATGCAAAGTGAAAATTGAATTTAAATTACGTTGCCTCAGCTACATGAAGTCAGTCGAGACTAACGCTCAACGCCCCAGCTTCCTGAGTTCATGTTTATTGTCAACCCCGCACGGTGCAGTGATTGCGCCAAGCTTCTGGAATCATTTCCAGGCCTCACTGACCCCAGAGATAATTTGGGATGCCAATCGAAGAATACAACTAGTGTCTCCTAACCAGTTTGAGTTAAAGTCAGCAAACTTTTAGCCCAAAATCTTGGAACTTAGACCCTCGCTAAACAGTTCGTGACGCGTTACGTAATCGATCATGTCATGTTTAGCTAGGACCAAATACACCATCACGTAAAGGGCCATCTACTTAAGACGTCTGGCAAATAGGGAGGGGGTGGTCTTGGAATTTCGGATAAATCCGGACAGGGGGAGGGGGTGGTTTCTAAAAATCCTGACGTCCGAAAATTTTGGCAGAATTAACGAAAAGTTCAATTTATTTAAACTTTTTGACACAATTAACCATGAATTTGGGCAGATTTTATTTGTACTGAAAAGTAGCTGGAAATCCGGAAGTCCGGACGAGGGGTCGGTTTTAAATTTGGACACACCCGGTCTAGGGGAGGAGGTCAGGAGGAGGAGGCGGTCTAAAAATCTGCGTTAGGGGCCATTTCCTAAGTAAAAGGCCCCTAACGCAGCTGCTGAAGACGATTTACACGAGTATTTTGAAAGTTCCTTCTATAAATAAATCTTTCGTATCACTTATATGAGTATTGCTGAAAGCACAGTGTAAGGCCTACACGGACCGCCTCTAACTAGCCAATCCCTGTTTACATGCCGTGTTTTAAACAATCCACCTCCAGGCTTAACGCATTACGTCACGTCTAGCTACAACAAATACTCGATCACGTAACGCATAAGTATTCAGTATCACGTGATGAGTCTCATACCACCTTGTCTAACTGTTAAACACATTAACGGAAATTTCCGGACACCAGGTCCAGCTCCGGCGAATTTTATAGTCATTTCGGCAGTTGTAGTTCTACATCAAAAGTTGGAAATGAAATTAAATACAATATAATCAGGATAATCTTATTGCAAACAGCTGCACAGTCATGTATTGAATTAGTTAACTTACAAACCGAAATGCAGTTTTCTGCTTGGGTATTGTCAAGCTTGTGACGTGGTGAAGATAAGAACGATGACGAGGAGATAATAGAATATAAGACGAAGGTGACGCAGCCGAGAGATTACATGGAACGATGACGAGGAGATAATAGAAGATAAGAAGAAGCTGACGCAGCTAGGAGATTGAATGGAACGATGACCTTATGGCAGACTATATATATGTGAAAATTTATTGAAGTGTTCACTTTTTATTGTACATGTTTTTACCCTTATTGTCATTCTACAATTTATACATATCATTTATTAAACACCAAAATTAACTTGTCTAACGTGTTTTGATCTCCGAGTAATACCATCACATCTTATTTATTTGTGCCTGCCTTAACAGTATTTTCAGCATAAACATTCTTTTTCGCCGTTATTTTAATATAAGTTCATTGCTGTATTGTTTGGTGAAATTTTCAAATAAAATCAACACCATGAACGTTTTACGTTGTTTTACCTGTGCGACACATACCCCAGTGCGAAACCTTCAAGATCGACACTGTCGCACTAGAGTACGCTTCCTGGATCGTAGTGCGACAATTGTACTGTAGTATAAGAGAATTTTCGCAACTAAACGATCCATGTCTTCCGCAGTGCCAAACAGGGAAGATCTTCTTCTCTCTGTAGAGTAGGTTTCACGCTTGTTTGTTCTGTCAGGAGTTAGGACAGGATCAGCCAAAGAGAGAGGAGCAACAGGACTCCAACGAGCTCAAACAAGTACTCATGTTTCCACATGAGTACTTAGGTCACATCCTTTCCACAGCTTGCCATAAAATATTTGAGATGACGGATCAGCTAGTTATGATCTGTAGCACGTTTGATGTTACGCGACCTTACCATTTGAAGGCATGGGTCACATCCTTTTAGGTAAATTTGCAGCCGTCTCACATGTCACTAGGACGTGTTCAAACCTGGTTGGTGGTTTTGTTTCATTTTTCCCACTCATTACTTCTGGGCCCCCAGATTGAAATCTGTAACATTTTAAGAAAAACTAAAACTACTGACAAAAACTAGACCCTTTGACTGAGGGCACCCTTGAATCAGAATTTTTGTAACATATTCAGGTCCTGAGATATAGCAGTTTAGTTGGGGGCCGTGGATATTGAATTTTGTAACACATTTCTATGTTACACTTTTTCAATGGGTTTTTAGAGAAGCTTCTTGATAGTTTTTCAAGTTCAGACCAGTTTTTCTAGGTCACAAAGGGTTCCATCAACCATATTCTTGACCAAATTTTGTACTTGGGCCCAAAACATTGAATTCTGTAACATATTTATGTTTTCACTGCCAAGGTCATATCTGGAATATTCAATATATTTTTGTATTGGTAACATGGTTTTTAGATTCTCATACAAAATTCTGAAGCAATCCTTATTCATATAATTTGATAAAATGGCTGCGGAACTTGAATTATGTAACATTAGAAAGTAAGTGTATAGAGTATGTACCCTAATGTGAGGGGTGTTAGGTAAGCTATATTATAGTTTTTGAAGTTCAGACCAGTTTTTCCAGGTCACAAAGGATTCCATCAACCATATTCTTGACCAAATTTTGTACTTGGGCCCAAAACATTGAATTTTGTAACATATTTATGTTTTGACTACAAAGCTCATATCTGGAATGTTCAATATATTCTTGTACTGGTAACATGGTTTTTAGATTCTCATGCAGAATTGTAAAGCATTCCTTATTCGTATAATTTGATAAAATGGCTGCGGAACTTGAATAATGTAACATTAGAAAGTAAATGTATAGAGTATAGTATATAGTATGTATCCTAGTGTGAGGGGTGTTAGGCAAGCTATATTATAGTTTTTGAAGTTCAGACCAGTTTGCCTACGTCATAAGGGTTCCATCAACCATATTATTGACCATATTTTTTACTTGGGCCCAAAACATTGAATTTTGTAAGTCCATAGATGGACATGGAACTCTGCCATTTCAGTGGATAAACTCGTGACCTGGCATTTTATTGTTACAAATTTCAATATATAGGGCCCAATTTCTATTTTCTACACAATTTGATATATAAATTAAAAGTTTTTAAATATCCAACCTTTAATCTAATTAGCTATATTCATTTGATTAAATTTACCGCGTTCTGTTTAAATTGTTACAAAATTCAATAATTTGGTCCCAATTATCATTTTTTTAATTTGTTAAGTTGTTTCATGTCTTTATTTTAATGCATCAACCAACTTAAAACCAATACTAGATCAAACAACTCTGTATAACATACTCATTTGTAACCATGTTACGTTATTCAAAGAAATGGGCCTTTTATTGATTATGAACCATATACCAAGATTGTGGTAATGCCTTTATACAAGAATTGCTGCACTAATAACCTGGTTTGAGAGTTAAATACATATCCTACACTAGCTGTGGTTGTAACAAACTATAAAGATAGATTCATGAAAACAAGATGTTACAAAATGTCCATTTTGAGCCTTTTTATGTAACCAAAAGTGGGCCTTTTTTCATTCCACAGCTAAGCAAATACCTAAAGTACATTTTTGTGAAGCAAGAATCTTTAAAATTTAATAATTGGCTGAGCCATTGAAAAGTGTAACCAAATGTTACATTTTTCAACATAACTGGGCCATTTTACAATATTATTCATAGCCGATGACCTGAGACTATTTGTTATCACAATTTTAATCATCTCTGAAAGTTTTAAGACCATCGAGTAATTATTAATGGAGTTATTGTAAAAATGAGAAAATCGCCCATTTTGGCAGTGAAACAAAACCACCAACCAGGTTTGAACATGTCCACTATATATAGTGTGCAAAACGCACTTTATAGTGACAGGACTATATAGTGACATGTCACTATAAAGTTCTTGTCACTATATAATGTTGTCACTATATATAGTGCGGGAATCAACATTGGCCGCTTTTCACTGTACAATTACCCAGATGATGGATATCTTTATGTATTTGGAGGCTCACCACGCCGCTATCTGGATTTTTATGTTAGCTGGACTACTGTTTTCCTTCATCGCCGGTCAGTATAATATCAGTCAGAATCTTTAACATAATTTCAAGCTTTTAAGCTATTCCTAGCCTATTCGTATTTAGATTCGAAATAATAAGTTACTGATATGGATGAAATATATTATGGTATATTTGACTAATAGATTCATAAT